TAGAAAGATGCTGAACATCAAACGACCAAACACCATTACCAACAAAGACTTAATGGAAAGGATATGCCGGGAGTCTATTGCTGTAAACATCCTAAGGAAAAGATGGACGTGGATAGGGCACACTATTCGCAAACCCTCCCAGATAAAATCACCATAAAATCCCTTATACCAGGCCTGCACAACTCAAAATGTAAGGCGGGCCGTAATACTTTATGATTAACTTGTGCGGGCCGTAATACTTTATGAATAACTTGTGCGGGCCGTAATACTTTATGAAAACTTGTGCGGGCCGTAATACTTTATGAATAACTTGTGCGGGCCGAAAGAAAATAGGATAGGGGGGGGGGCGGATATTAAGAAAATAATGATAATAAAGAATATTTCGTTACTTCGCGGGCCGCAAGGTGGTTGCTGGATGGCCGCATGCTGCACGCGGGCCGCTTGTTGTGCAGGCCTGCCCTAAGACCTGGAATCCACATTGGAAAACGAAATAGAGGAAGGACTAAGAATACATGGAGACGCAAGCTAGGGGCAGACACGCAAAGTATGGGATACACCTGGGAGCAACTGGAAAGGTATAAGCAAAGGACCGAGATGAATGGAAAATTCTTGTAGACGCCTATGCCCACAGACGGAGTAAAAGGCATGAGTAAGTGAGTAGTTGGCTTGGTTGAATTCCGCTTGAGGAGGGATTAAAATTCGCTGTCATTCCGTTTTTAAATGAGAACACTTAACGAGCCACGTTATTTTGATCACAGTCTCATACTTCCTCGTCGTGCCCGGCTATGAAGCGAAACATTTGTAAGCTTAACCTCGCAATAAGAGAAAAAAAAAATCATTGGTACTTTGCGTCAGTATTCACGTTCAATATTCACCTGCAGTATTCACATACAGTATTCACGTACAGTATTCACATACAGTATTCACATACAATATTCACATACAGTATTTACTTACAGTATTCACTTACAGTATTCACTTACCACTTACAGTATTCTCATACAGTATTCACTTACAGTATTCACATAGTGTATTCACATACAATATTTACATACAGTATTTACTTACAGTATTCACTTACAGTATTCACTTACCACTTACAGTATTCTCATACAGTATTCACTTACAGTATTCACATACAGTATTCACATACAATATTCACATACAGTATTTACTTACAGTATTCACTTACAGTATTCACTTACCACTTACAGTATTCTCAAACAGTATTCACTTACAGTCTCATGCAGTATTCACTTACAGTATTCACATACAGTATTCACATACAATATTCACATACAGTATTCACTTACAGTATTCACTTACAGTATTCACATACAGTAGTCACATACAGTAATCACACACAGTATTCACATACAGTAATCACATACAGTATTCACATAAATTAATCTACCTGTGCGTACGCGCACAGCCGCGCACTTACCGTGGGGTGGAGCCAATCCGCAGTCGTTGTCTCTTGTGGGCGTCCTTGGTTCATTACACCGATCTAAGACTATCTCCCTGTTGTAATTTAAGTCCACTCCGTGTATTCCCGGCTTACGTGAACAATGGCTCCGAATTTAACGATGGATATCGGGTTTTGTTTTTTGTTTTTTGTTTTTTTTTTTGTTGTTAAAAAAAAAACAAAAAAAAAAAACAACCAACTACAGGAAATGCGAACGGTTGAAATATCCGGTTTGTAGTCAAACCTGTTTCACCCAAGTCCAGGAGAAGAACAACAACAGGATAATGGCGAACATAGTATTGTGTCGGGTCTGATGTGTTATGCATCAGAGAATCAGGGGCGTCATTTCAAGTTGTTGTTTTTTTCAACAACAAAAAAAAAAGGGGGGGGGGGTGGGGGGCAAAACCAAAACTTGGTCGGCTTGTTAAATTGTTTATTAGTAGAGGCGGCACTGTACATTGCAATTTAAATAAAACCTGCAAATTGAGGGGGAAAAAAGGGGGGGGGGGTCTGGCAAATGACACCACTGCGAAGAATCCTTCATCCTGAGAACGAGTGTCGATCAAAAACGCTTTAAACCTGCATGAGAGGTTCTAAACATCTGGGGTGAACAGGCAACAAGTACGACTAATATTTTTTTTTAATGATTCGAACAACAATGGTCTCACAACTATTATTCGCCAATATTAAAATGCAATCGGTTTGATGGGTGTCGATATGTTTCATCTGTAGCGAGAAATCGCCCAAGTAGAGCTCAACGGTAAAGGCGTAGAGTGGCAAAACCATAGCTGCGCCAATTTCAATTGTATATGGCGAGTGAAGTGGATGGTTATTTCAAGTGCACATCAACGTTGATTTTTTTTAGTTTATGCAACATTGAATATTACTTTTGCATGTGAAATGATGTTAGCAATTGATTCGCGGCTGATAATTATTTAATTATTGAGTTTCTTTTTTAATTACCCGAAGTAAGGAAATTTTAATAAAATGTATCTTTGAAATTCAAAATCGTTATCTGCTTCTTGCTAAATTTTAACTTTTTTTTTTTTTTTTTTTTTTTTTGTTTAAGCTTTTTATGTTTCCGAGCTTTAAAGTATGGTCNAAAATTTTAATTTTTTTTTTTTTTTTTTTTTATATTTTTATTTTTTTTTTTTTTTTTGTTAATTTTTTTTTTTTTTTTTTTTTTTTTTTTTGCTTAAGCTTTTTAAGGTTCCGAGCTTTAAAGTATGGTCATCGTAGACGGACAATGCAGAAAAATTAAGGATAAGTGTACGAGTGTTTTGGGGACATCGGAGAAGCCAGTTGTAGAAATGCTGACAGAGATTAGGGTCAAGGGGTGAGTTTTAGCGCACATACTCACACAATGGTATACATACACCCAAAATTGGGATTCGGGATGCAATCAATTCAATAATAATCGTTTTAATTATTCAGAGTTTTTACGAAAAAAAATTTTTTGCCTTCATATTTTAGTTTTTACAAGAAACAGTAATACTTGAAATGCTCCTTTCATTGTGGGTCAAACAACCAATGCTCGCCGGCTGCACATTTACACTAATATCGATTTGTTAAAATACAATGTCTGCAAGGCTGGATTAACCATTAGGCAAACAATGCACGTGTCTAGGGCACCAGGGGGGGGGGGGGGGGGTGGGGGGGAAATGTGTATATTGTCCCAGTAGCTTAACTGAATGGCATAAGCAAATCGCAAATGTAATATTGAATCTCACATTATTTAACCTTGTTCCCACAACCCGGGGGTAAAATAAATACCCCCCCCCCAACCCCAGTTTTTTGTTGCTATTTTTTGTTATTTTTCTTCAGGTTTTTTGGTGCCAATTTTTTAAAACTTTTCTGGGATATGTTTGTGCTACGTAACGCACTAATGCGTAGCGAAATATTCACTTCCGTTTTGGTCTGCTAGTGAAAACAATTGTGAATTGGGTCAGTCATGCTCTACAAAATGAGCACGTGAACTTGAAAACGTGTGCTGATTTGTATTCTTCACTAGCAGATCACTTGCATGAATCTAGGAATGAATTTGAAAGATTTGAAGAAGCTGCAAAAGAAATAACATCAGGTGTGGATTACAAGTCAACTTTGACCCATAATCGTAAACGAAAGACAGTGGTCATTGATGGTGATGCCCCTGAGGTATCTCAGAATGCCAGAGACACATTTCGTATATCTGCTGTCTACACCCTTGTTGACAAACTTGAGACAGAGATGAGTAGACGAGGACAGGTATAAATAATGATCTAGCATTTTTCTTGTTTGGTCGATGTACCACAAACATCTCAGTGTTGTGAAAGACTAATATGCTTATCCTGAAGATCTGAACAATAATTTATATACTGAACTACAACAGTTCCACTCATATATTCGCCACAAGTTTCGTGCATAGAAATCTGAGAACAACACGTTCATTCATGCAGAACTCTACAAAGTAATAGTTAGAGACAACATCGAGTGTGCTTTTCCAAATGTAGAAATGGCCTTGCGCATATTTTTAACATTAATGGTTACGAAGTGTTCAATTGAGCGCTCTTCTTTTCCTCAGTTGAAACGTACAAAAAATCCAAGTAGATCGACAATGAAACAAGAAAGGCTTGACTCCTTATCTTTGCGGGTGATTGAGGCAGACTTGTTGCGCAAAATTAACTTTGATGATGTACTCAAAAACTTTGAAAGACGTAAATCTAGGAAAAAGAACTTTAAAATGTAAATGTGTGCTCTGTCTGACTTTCTTATCTATCAAAAAAGTTACAGTATTTGTGTCAACTATTATTACAAAATTAATTAACTATTAATTTTAATACAGATAAACCTTATTGTAGGTTCTATTTGAGTGATAGTAGTACAAACATATGTGTTTACATTTCACAACTGTTTTTCTTTGTTAGTTTTTTTGCATACTATTGAACATACCAGCAGTCAGTGGAGGATCGGGAGCCCGGGGCAGTAGGGGGCACCCATGTGGGTTTGTGCCTAGGGCACCAAGATGGCTTAATCCGGCCCTGTAGCTAGTATTATATTATACTACCTGCTTGTTTTAGATCTTTAAAAATAAAGAAATTAAAAAAAGTGTTCAAGCGGTGACTTCATTTATTTTTTTTTTAAAGGCAGTTTGGACTGCTAAAATAAATAATGGTACAATGGTATAAATAATGGTACAATGGTATAAATAATGGTACAATGGTATAAATAATGGTACAATGGTTATTTATTACCATGTTACCATATTTATTACCATGTTACCATATTTATATGGTACAATGGTATAAATAATGGTACAATGGTATAAATAATGGTACAATGGTATAAATAATGGTACAATGGTATAAATATTTCATTCGATTTAATGCTTCCTATAAACACTCAATTAATCATTTCCATGTAAATGTAATTATAGTTTTTTTAAACACCAAAAGGCATGCTGCAGAAAGTGTAATTCAACTGAAAATGCTTTGATTACAAAAAAAAATGTGCTAAAAATGGATTAGCTAAATGTGGTTTTAACGTCTGAAAGCACAATCTAATGCCAACGCAGTATCCTTCTCGTTATTAATCTCTTCACCTCCCCTCTAAACTTGACATTCATAACACCGTAGATGATCGGGTTGGACACCGAGTTCATGAAATACGACCTGAGTGCGATGTTGAAGAACACCAACGCGGCTCCGTCAAGACTGTAATCGAATCCTTGGATCAGCAGTTTGAGCACCGTCAGTGACAGATAGGGGAGAAAGCTGAGAATGAAAACCAGAGTGATCCAAAATGCTATGGCCGTGGTCTTGCTCCTCAGCTGCGACGACCGCCCTACTTTCGCTTTCTCTGGTGTTCTTCGCGCCACTTCCGGTTCTACTTTAAAACTGTCTTGCTCAGCTGAACTATCGGTGCACGGAGACTTCTCACAGTTCTCGCAGTCTAAAAAATTGGAGAAACGAACCGTAGCCCTTTCAGAATCTCCGGTTTCAATATTTAATTCCGCGTGGACAAAGTCCGATAAATCAGGATCGATACTTTTAGAATCCACTTCCGGTTTCTCTTTAGACGCCAGAAGCTCCAAATTATTTGGATTTTCTCTATTAGAATACGTTGACTGATGTGTGTTGCCGCTAGCTTCCTGGGTTTGAGAGTTGACTTCACAAAGCAATCGCTTTTGATGGCCACGTGATTCTATCACGTCACAGGCCAGCTTAGATCCAAGCATTTTCAGAGCAGGAATTTCTAATTCACGTCGTGGGTACCTCAACCTTCCGATGCAAGGAGGCATGCTTGACATCGGCGTTATCAGAGATGAGGGACGCGTAGATGTTTCATCGTTGTTGTTGTCGATAATGGTTGATGTGGATAAAGTCGAGTTGAGCGCCATCCTGACGCCCTTGTCACATTTTATCTCGCCGCTCGCTTCGTCGTAAGAGTGGGAGGAGCCGGAGCAGCTAGACGCCTTAGTTCTGGTCATGTAGCGCATGTGCTTTCTCGTCTTGTTCAGGATCAGGCAGTAGAGAACGATCAGGGCCACCGTGATGACGAGGAAGCACAGGAACAGGATCGCGCTGTAGACGAGCGGCCACATCGTCTTGCCCAAAGCGTTGGGCGTGGAGCAGTCCTGGCCGTAAAGTCCGGGCACTTGTGTCGTCGCCGTCCTCAGGCCGTGCAAGACGGCGGACGGCCAGGCAAAGAACAAGGCTCCGCCTATGACGGCTACGATGGACAGTTTGGCCTCCTTGCCGTGCATCTGGCTCTTCAGGGGCCTGCAGATCTTCCGGAAGCGGTCGACGGCGATGACGAGGAGGTTGAGGATGGAGCCGACTCCACAGAACATGTTGACGAACCTGGGAGGAGGAAGAAAAGTTTTATGTTATACGAACTTGACGACGCCCCCTTTTCAACTTATGTTTGAGCAAATACATAAATCGGTAGAGGAAAGAATGGCGAGGAGAAACCAAATTTACTCCACATGTAAAGCAGCGGTTCTCAACCTGTGGGTCGCGACCCCCTTTCACAGGGGTTACTTAACCATCGGAAAACACATATTTAAGAAGTAGCAACCAAAATAATTTTTTAAATTTTAATATTTTATTGGGGGGGGGGGGTTCACCACAACATGAGAAACTGTATCAAAGCGTCACGGCATTATGAAGGATGAGAACCACTGTAGAGGAGTTTGGTGGGGGTGGTGGTGGAAATAGCTGTAAAAAGTATGAGGCAACATACCTGATACATTGGTAGGGTTGTTTTCGCTTGAAAGATTGAGTACCGTTATTCACGCGAATAACGTCACAATTTTTTAATTTTAAAAATTCGATAAAAACTAGGGATGGGGCTATATCCACCGTATCCGGAAATTTGATCGAAAGAAATTTCGTCGACGGTAAATTGATTGACGGTAATTTGATCGAACGGAAATTTGGTCGAATCTTTTTTTCAGTTTTTACGCTAAAATTTTGCTCCAAATTTCTTTTTGAACGCAATCTTTTGTTTTGCTATATAGTACAGTGAGTTCAAACAGAAATTTGACGAAAGATATTGGGAGGCGACGGCCACCGGACCCCTCGACGTTGCTCGGGAAACAAGACCACCAATGTGTGTCACGCATGGGCAGACAAGGGACATGTATGGAACCTGCCGGAATATAAACAGCAACTACAGGCTGCCAACTGTGACGTTTTACAGTTGAAAGCAAAGGCGGAGACAGCTAGGGATCATGATTACAAGTTGCCGCTATTGGGTATGAGGCAAGAGGCTAAGGTGGAAGCCTCTAGCCGATGATTCTAACTACGCAGCCCTGAGAAAGCTGCTCCTAGGCAACAGTTTCGTCCCAGCTACTTTGCAAGCTAGTTGCGGGGTGGAAATCCACTGTAGAACCCGTCTTAGAGAGCGTCCGACGCTTCCAGGAGATGGGTGGGGGAAGATATTTGGATTTTAATGTACCATCCCGACTCCCTGGGAGAGTTGGTTGCGGACGCTTTAAACGACCCACTTTGAAAACCCCAAAAACCAAGGGTGCCACCTATCTGCGGGTCTACCGCAAAGACCCACTTTGAAAACCCCAAAACCAAGGTTGCCACCTATCTGCGAGTCTACCGCAAAGACCCACTTTGAAAACCCCAAAAACTAAGGGTGCCACCTATGTGCGGGTCTACCGCAAAGACCCACTTTGAAAACCCCAAAACCAAGGTTGCCACCTATCTGCGAGTCTACCGCAAAGACCCACTTTGAAAACCCCAAAAACCAAGGGTGCCACCTATCTGCGAGTCTACCGCAAAGACCTACTTTGAAAACCCCAAAAACCAAGGGTGCCACCTATCTGCGGGTCTACCGCAAAGACCCACTTTGAAAACCCCAAAAACCAAGGGTGCGACCTATCCGCCGGTGTGACCTATCCACCGGTGCGACCTTTACGATATTATATACGGTGTTTATGAGTGAATATTTTATGGAAAAGCTGAAGAAAAATGCGGAACTGACATGAATTATTATGCTTTAAAGTCAGCTTAGTTTTATAGCAACAGTAGGTAACTTAGTAAGTCTGCTTTACAGAGATTAACGTAAAGTTATATTTTATTATTAAATCCCAACCACGGAATCCTGAATACCATGTCCCACGTTGTCTCAGCACAGAAATAGATGAAGTTAACTGTCACCTGGATAACACAGTCTGAGGTTTCAAGAACGGAATATGTATGACACTTGAGACAATTTGATTGCATTATATTTTAATGCTCGTTCATACTTTCTGGTCCAGTTGTTTCTGTTACGCTGCTAAAGATGAAATTACCGCCAACCATTCCACCATTTCCAATTCCACCATCCACAATTTCAACATCGCCAACTCCACCATCCCCAACTCCACCATCCCCATCTCCAACATCTCCAAATCCACCAACGCTAACTCCACCATCCCCAACTCCACCATCCCCAACTCCACCATCCCCAACTCCACCATCCCCAACTCCACCATCCCCAACTCCACCATCCCCAACTCCACCATCCCCAACTCCACCATCCCCAACTCCACCATCGCTAACTCTACCATCGCCAACTCCACCATTCCTAACTTCACCATCCCTAGCTCAACCATCCCTGACTCCACCTACCCTAACTCCACCATCCCGAATGGCTCCACTGCCACCGCCTGCCACTTCCAACGAAACGCCGGATCAACAGACATACCTCATTGTCTTGCAGGCTGCCTGCGACTGATACGTGAAGAAGAACCTCAGGTCAACGATGTCACTGGGAATGGTGATCGCGCACGTCATCAGGTCGAAGATGGCCAGCGCAACGATGAGCATGTTCTGTGTGCCCGATCTCAGCTTCGCGCAGAATATGTACACAACCAGGGAGTTGCCGACCATGCCGACGACCATGAGGAGTCCGAAAAACGCCATGGCCGGAATCAAGGTCACGGCCTTCTCGTCGTTTAAGTCTGAAAGACTTTTCATGGTCATGTTGACCTGCCCGTACACGACTAGGTCGGGTTGACCCAGCAAATCGCTGGTAAAATTGCGATTTCCCGGAGTCGTCATGGCAACGACTAAATCTGTAGGTATTTATTTTTTTTTCAAGTTGTATCTAATGTGATTCCAAAGTTTCAGTTAACAGGTTCAAAATATAGAACTGTCAGAAGTGTCATAGTCACTAGCAGGTACCTAGGTGAGATGACACGAACTCCCTTTGATATTCCCAGCCAGCCTGGTCTAATGTAATGAAATTTTTCCTTTCACAAGAATACCCGGTATCTATTTTACACAAAACTTTCATCAGTAGGAATTTCCCATTTGTAATGCAGAATCATTTCGAAAAATCTTAGAATTTCAAACTTTGAAAATATTGTTTCCAAAACTAGCCTGCAGTCGGTCGGAGACTGGCCTGTTAATTTATCAATTTCGCATCCTTGATGTAAGCTTAACTTGATGACAGCTAAGACTTTTTTTTTTGTTTTTGTTTTTTTTTAAAGTTAAATTAAATTATCACGAGCCCATGCAGATGCAGACGACATAATGCATGGCGAAACAAGCAGCAGACGACCAGATTTTATCAACGGATGTTCATTTCGCTGATACATAAGTGTTGTGTTTTTTTTGTTGTTTTTTTTTCAACAAATTTTGTAACTTTCAAGGCTGTCCGTTTTTACGGCGTTTTTAAAATGAAATGACGTAGTAGCGTCACGAAGTCTAGTCCAAGGGTGAGGCCGTTACCCACACCTCCTCCACCTGCCCCCACACGCCCACACGCCCTGCCATAGTCACATGAGTTCATCGCGTCGCCCTGGCCAGCCGACGACAATTTGTGGAGTGGAACAAGCGTAACAGAAACACTGACATTGTTTTGTTTGCAGATTGGAATCAACTGCACCATTTCAATTCAAAAAAAAAAAAAAAAACGAATGGGGGCACTTGTGACATGCCTGTCATTTGAAGTGTTCTGAGAAGACGTGCTGATTTATAATGAGGAAGTTAATTATCTAAATTGACACTTGATTTTTTGTAAATAATGGGGAGGGGAAGAAAGGAAAAAGGGGGAGGGGGCTATTGCCGAGGTGGAGCAGCGTAACTAGATGTGCCCGGTTGTAGTACCAGCCGGTACGGTGACTCATCGTGCCCCCCCCTTTTTTTCAACCTCACACACACACAGAGAATAGGTAATCAGAAAAAAATATATAAATTTCTATTTCTCATGCTACCATCACCCCTTATTTTGTGTTATGGAACATGACTCATTCTCTCCTTTGGGATTTCGCACGTTCCATGAAATGAAAGGAGCTTCTTAAGCAGCCTTCCCACAAGTCCCCGTTTATGACTCATTCTCTCGTTTTGGGATTTCGCATAGTCCTCAAATGAAAGGAGCTTCTTAAGCAGCCTTGCCACAAGTCCCGGTTTCTCCTGTTTCGTCAAAAAGGTATCGACCTTGTCCCCGCTATCGGTATAGAAGAAATACACTTATGGGGGGCGTCCATTAATTACGTCAACAAAATAGGAGGGGGGGGGGGGTTAGAAATGTTTGACAGTTTTTGACAAGGGGGAGGGGAGGGGAGGGAGGGGGTTTAGATTCGATGACGTCAACAATCCTGTTTTAGTTTTCTTTATTAAAATTTTAATTTTAAAACTTGACTGGTTCTCACATTATTTTAAAATTTTATAAATGTAAATGAGTGTAAATAGCCTTATAAGTTGTAGGCTTTCGACAATATAAGATTTATTTAACGTGTGTCTGTGCACTGCAGACGGCTGGTCAGAATGTTAGCGCACTTTGTTAGTGCAAGAGAAGTCAAAAGTTGGCCTCTCTCCATCTGTAGATTCTGTTGCAGGTATGGAACAAGGACAAGGTGCAAGTGGCATGTGCAGTCAAGATAAATGATATTGATTAGAGTAGGAATACAATATTTTGAGAATTAGGGGAAAGTAAAGTGAGTAACAATAATAACATCGCGGCTTGAACGGATTGGCAAAATCTGTTACATCTATTTTGCATCACAAATCATGTTGAATAAGCATGTTCAACACAACCGACAATACCCTCTTGAGCATAGGAAATTAGCACCTGGTCCTCAACAAAAAAGGATTCGACCAATGCGAGTAGCTGCAAGGAGATAGAGAGAGCTTAGGGCAATTATTACTCACACCGACAATGCTCCTATTTTAAGTGCTGAATGGTTAGATGAGGATGATGTTGACTTGTCTGGTGTATAAGTGCCGCAAGATAAAAATGATCAATCAGCTGGTATAGACTATGCCCATCAGGGGCGTCATTTCATGTCTTTTCAGGGGGGAGGGGAGGGGGGGGGGGTCAAAACCAAAACTTGGTCGGCTTGTTAAGTTGTTTATTACTGGAGGCGCCACAGTACATAGAAATTTAAATAAAACTTGCAAATTAGGGGGGGGGGCAAATTCCCCATAGACTATGCCCATCAGGGGCGTCATTTCATGTCTTTTCAGGGGGGAGGGGAGGGGGGGGGGGGCAAAACCAAAACTTGGTCGGCTTGTTAAGTTGTTTATTACTGGAGGCGCCACAGTACATAGCAATTTAAATAAAACTTGCAAATTAGGGGGTGGGGCAAATTCCCCACTGCCCTACCTAAAATGATGTCCCTGATGCTCATTGCTACGATAGAGAAACACCTGGCTACTCCATGGGAAGATGACGGCAGCTAGAAACTATACTATAATTGTCAGCTTTACTGACAATAACAATGTCAATACCACAAACAATAATATTCAGTCTTTAATAACCGTTCAATTGATTCTGCATTACGAAATTTAAGTGTAAAAGCATATTAACTTGTTGATTAACAAGCTAAAGGTGTGATGAATTGTTTTTCCTAAATTTTATTGTCATTAAAATAGGTCAGCACAAATTAAAATTTATTTATAAATTTATTTGTGATATAATTCCTTTTTTTTCTGGTTGGCGCGGGGGGGGGGGTAGAAAATGTTGAAATAATTAATTAAGGGGATCATTGAAAGTTTGACAGTTGTTGACAGGGGGGCGGGGTCAAAAATTGTTTTAAAAGGTGTTGACGTAATTAATGGATGACCCCCCTATACTAGAATTTACAGTCAGCTATCGTTATAGAATGAGTATACTAAAATTTACAGTTGGCTATAGTTATAGAATAAATACACGTATACTAGAATTCACAGTGACACACTGCTTGGTCTCAGCGAATGTCATAAACGTATAACTGATCACACGTAAATTTTCCACTCATGCTACCAATCCAAAGGCGTGATTTATTAAAAGTTCAAGGTTGATGCGTCAGAAATGTGGTGACACACTAACTAGGTTTAGACAAAAAACGCCGTTTTCAACATGATTCAACGCCGATTGCAGTGTTCGGTTACTTTCGTAAGTGAAAGGAAGCTGTATTTATCTAAATTCTGAGAAATAAAGATTTCCATGTATATCAAATACGATGTAGTCGGGCGATTCTAAATTCATGAATCGAATCCGTTAAAATTAAAAACATTTTAAAAAATGATTTTTTGACCATTTATAGGGTTGTCTAAATAGTATTTTACAAAATGTCCTAATACCTTTCAATAATTGATTTAAATTTATTTAAATCTTTAATTTTTTAAAATAAAAAGGTTGTTGAAAGACAGCAATATCCAAAAATGATCATTTTCGCCAATGCGTCACTGGTACCGCCCCTTGTCATTTGAGCGCGATCGTCATACAGCACAAGGTCTTTTTACGGGCTGCCCGTGATTTCACCTTAAACTGCTACCTTACCTTAGCCTTTACCTTTACCTTTACCAAGCCTGATCTGATTGAGGAAGTTAATCTTACGCAGCAGTGTCTGCATACTAAAAGGCTTTATACTTTGACAGCGTCCATGGTGGTGACCCAATCTAGAGGCCTTAAGATTGTGTCTTGGTGGAACATGCTATTGAAAACGCACTCTTAAAAAGAGACCAATGAGGACTTAGGGTAGAGAGAAGATGAACGTTTAAGAAGACAGTGGCAGCAGAACTGTTTGCGCTCCACCGTGTGGCAGTCAGGGCTCTGGGATCACCGTGGGTTTACCCGACCTGGTGACACCAACCCCGATTCTACGCCACTGGGATTCAAGTGCTAAAAATAATAGAATGAATAGCAGGTGCAGATGGCTTGTCGGAAGATCGCAGCATGGAATGTCAATTTGAGTTCTTTCCTGGTAACTAATAGTTGAAATTCTGTACCGGTATTTGGCGTTCTCACAAGCCTATTAATTCTCCTTTGATTTCTGACTTGTTGGCACCAATTTTACTTTGTATATTTTTTTTTAAAAAGTATTTACCAACCATCAACGTTTCCGATTCCTTCGCTTTTCTTAGTTTATTAAAAAAATGTAGCTCTGGTACATGAGAACTAAAGGTCTGCATCAGAAGCCACTTAAGCCTGCCCCACTTAAGCCTGCATGCACAGTGTATGCGCCCGCACCGTGCTCATTGCTCATGAGTGTCAGCCGTCTGTTTCTGGGAGGCCAGAAGTTGTCCATAACCGTAAAAGACCAGTGGCGAGTAGCCAGGGCCGGTGCCACCTGGGGCGGGCAGAGGATTTTTGTCGCCCCATTGCACGTGTGGAAAAAAAAAAAACAAACTCTGCCGCTGGCCGAAAATGCCGCCCCCACCACATAAAGAAAAAAAAAGTGCCGGCTGGGGTGGACCGCCCCCGGCCGGGGTGGACCGCCCTCCCCCCACGGTAGCCCTTTGTGCACGCCAGTATAGAACACGGTTTGCATTGAACTTTTAGCTTACTGGTTTGAAAGTCTAAAACTGAACCAAAGGGACGTTTGTTACGGTGTAAGGATGCACTTCAATATGCTGAGGGTCTTATTATAATGGCTCCATGTCTAAGGAAAAACATAATTCATCATACATGTACTTCCTTGGGAATGTTGCGTCGGAACAGAGGTTCTCAACTTGCGGGTCGCGAACCCTTTTTTATTCAACCGTTTGGTGCAATGGATGCTTTGGTT